TCGGATCACACCAGCCACAATCACGTGACGTAGGTATATATCATCCCTCTGAGAGGCTTGATAGCTCCTCAAGGATTCGTCTCAATACAAGCCTATACCGATATCTCAGTGCCTGCCCAACTACTCCTTACAAGACGCTTACATAAGACGTCTAAAGCGCTCGTTCTACTAGTAGGTTAGAAGCTTTAAGGAGGCGTTAAAAAGCTAGTGTTTCAAACTTAGAGAGAGGGTAATTGTTCTTAACAAGCCAGCTAACAGCTGCTAGCCAGAAGCGTTAGGTATTAAAGCTAGCGAGCTTATTAGCTACTATCTACGACACGCTGTTATTACTATCTTTAAGCAGGTGTTATAGCCAGGTAGGTTTTGCAGCGACAGCCGACTTGCTGTGGCTATAGCTGCGTTTAGGCAGCTCTAAGTGTCGCTGCGCTGAGGACGTTGAGAGCGTCGTCTCATATATCCCGACGCCGGTATCTATATACTTATGCTCGTAGCAGTAACAGCACACGAAGTATAGCTTACTTAGGTCCTTTAGCAGCGCAACGCGGTAGCCATAGCGATAGATCCAGCTCTTGCGCGACTTCGGCGACGAGAGCGGCTTTATATACTTGCGTAAACGCCCCCAATCAACTCCCTCAAAGTTATCTATAAGGCCTGCGTCCAGCGCCTCTTGCAAGGTCTTATTATCTAGGGCTGCTGGCGACGAGGCTGCTGTTACCTTCTCGCTGCACTCAGTAGGCGCGATAATAGCGTCTTCAGGCCGCGACTCGCGTAGTTGCGACTCAAAAGTTGAAGCCTGGGACGCCTCTACGAGAGCTCTGCGAGGCGACAGACGCGACGGCGATGGCGATAGCTGACTATCGACGGCTATAGGCTGGCTAACAGTGCCGCGGGCGGTAGAGGATTTGACGCGTTTCTTCGGGCGAGTAAGGTCATCAGAGGCGCGTTTCGTAGGAGGCATAGCGATAGCAATATGATGAGGGCGACGGGAGCAAAACAAGGACGCGATAGAGGGTTGTTTAGGTGGCTGGTGGAGGGAGTATAGTGTTGCAGAAGTTAGGCTGATTACGTACTAGTACTGCGACAACTACAACACCAAAAACCTATCGTGAGATCGCTCCTGCTGCAAAACGAGCAACCTCGCGTGCTACCTTAATCAAGCCTATCAAGCTGAACAATCAAGCTAAGCCACCTCAGCTTGGATTGCTAAAAAAATAAATATAGGCGAGCTTGACTTGATGGGATTGATAGTTATCAAGCTGTCAATCAAGCGCTTGCAAGCCGCTTGATTGTTGACAAGTCTGGTAGAAAGATAAGCTCCAGTCTTGCTCTCTTTGCCGTCAACTTCAACAAGGTCAAGAAGCAGTTGAATAAGCTGTCCATGCTGGTCGACGAACTGGGCATTTACAGCTTGGAAATGTTTGTGGCCATGCATTGCCTTCCATGTATCAGTGCTGATATGGAAGCAGCTGATTGTATCGTCGCAGAGATATCTGATAACCTCCTCTTGCTAAGCGCGGAAGTTCCGAACGATGCGCGACACTAGTGAGCTACTCGAGCGCAGTAATACATGATCCGCTTCAGGGTTAACGGTGAGAATAAGCTCCTGGAATTCCTTAGAAACCACTGGGTTATGTGATAGACTGCATGCTGTGACGAAGCGAGCAAGGGCATTCCGGAAGTCTTGCTTCTGAGCAGCATTGCGAAGGATCGTTACAGTTTGATCATGCCTAAACTCAGCCTTTTTCGTAGCCATTTTGTGAAGCCCTTGCTGCAGGCTGTTGGCTTGTGCAATAGTAGAAGGGGCTGCTGAATATCTTCCAACAAAGATAGCATGTTTCCGGAGGTGCGCAGTAGCATTTCCTGATGAGCCTTTCCACTCGCAGTTGTCACCTGCACAGTAGAAGATCTCATGGCTATGATCGTCCTTGGTAGGCTCGTATGGCAGCCGTTGCCGTGAGTGCTTCCACACTGTCTTGTCCTTCTGCCCAGCGCCTCTGTGCGGAGTACTGCTCTGTCTCTTCCGCTTGAGAAATTGCGTAACGTAAACGGCAAGCGAACCGGCCACCCCACCAAGATTGCGCAACTCTCTACTTTCAGCTGCAATGTCTCAACAACACAACGGAGAAATACTCCCTTATGAGGATAGAGTCATCCTAGCTACTCAAGCAATAAAAGAAGACGCGTCCTTAAGTGAGCGACGCGCTGCAGCAATCTACAACGTTCGTCGAAGCACCCTCCATGACCGACACGCCGGAACGACATCACGACGCGATTCCCAAGCCAACTCATTAAGGCTTACGAAGTACGAAGAGGACACGCTTGTTCAATGCATAAGAAAGCTAGATGTGCGAGGTTTTGCGCCTACGCTCGGTTATGTGCGCGAAATGGCTAATCAACTGCTTGCTGTACGCGATGGTGGCCAGGTTGGCGAGAAATGGGCCAGCAATCTCGTCCGTCGCAAGCCTGAGCTCAAATCTCGATTAACTCGACAGCGCGATCGCCAGAGAGACTTGTGCAGCGATCCAGCGGTTATTAGCCCCTGGTTTGACCTCGTACAGAACACAAAGAGGAAGTACGGCATCCTAGAAAGATAGTACAACTTTGACGAGACTGGCTTCACTATAGGTGTCGCAGGAAGCGTGAAGGTTGTTACTGCTTCAGAGAGACGCAATCGGCCTATAGGCGTTCAAACTGGCAATCGTGAGTGGGTTACGTTGATCGCAGGAGTCAACGCGAAGGGCTGGGCTATCCCGCCCTTCTTTATCTTCAAAGCAAAGAACCACGACCGGTCCTGGTACCATGATATACCAAAAGACTGGCGTGTTGGGGTTAGCGACAACGGCTGGACAACAAATGAGCTTGGTTTAGCCTGGCTACAGCACTTTGTCCAGCATACAGAGGCCTGTACGGTGGGTAGCCATCGGCTGCTTATTATTGATGGCCACGAGAGCCACAGGTCGCTTGCGTTCCAAGATCTTTGCGAGAAAAGCAAGATTATTACCCTCTGCATGCTTCCACACTCGTCGCGCATCCTGCAACCGCTTGATGTGGGGTGTTTTTCGCCGTTGAAGCGGGCGTATGGGAAAGAGATCAGAGGCTTGGCAACCAGTCACATCGACCATATCGACAAGAAGGCATTTTTAGCCTCCTTTAAGGAGGTATTTAGCAGCTCGTTTTCAAAGAAGAATATCCAGTCAAGCTTCCAAGCAACTGGTTTAGTTCCACACAGCCCAGAGGTTGTGTTATCGAAGCTTGAAGTAGAGCCTCGAACGCCGACACCACCTTTACTAGGGGCTGTTAAATGGAATCCTAAAACACCAAGCAACGCCCGTGAGATAGAAGCTCAATCAACGCTTATTCGCGATCGGATTCGACAGCACAAGAGCCCTTCGCCTGCTTCTATTATTGAGATGCTTGATCAGCTGAAGAAAAGCGCCCAGATGATGGTGCATTCACAGGCGTTGCTGGCAGGTCAGGTCGCACGTCTTGAGAAGGCAAACAAGGCTGCATCTGAGCGCAAACAACACAAAAGGAAGCGGATACAGAAGGGCGGAGGCCTATCAAAGGCGGAGGCAGATGAATTAGTTGCTGAAAAGGACGTTGAGGCACAACTGGAGGGGGAAACGCGCGAGGGTAGGTCTCGAACAGGTGCAGGCAGAGGCGGAAAAAGGCACTGCAAAAGCTGTAGGGAGGTAGGGCACAACTCGCGCACGTGCAAGAAAATACTGTAGATACTGAGTAGTAATTTGATGTCTTTTACAATACAGTAGCTTGTTGTGGCGTTAGGTTATCTATATACAAAGGTGCGCAACCTTAGTGGGGTGGTCGGTTCGCTTGCCTGGCCGGTTCGCTTGCCGTTCACGTTAACGTAAGCGGCGGCAACTGAGCTGCACACTAAATGCAGCTATCTACCCCAACATATTAATAACTCACCACTACAACATCGTACTGCAGTGCATAATACGTTAAATTAATCCCCTAATTCTACTTCGCCTTTCTTACACGTGCGCATATTGTGCCCTGTCTCGCCGCATCTCTTACAGTGTCTAATACCCCCTCTACTAGCACCTGTTCGCACCCTCTCCTCACGACTTTCTACCTCAAACTGGGCCTCAACATCCTTCTGCGCTACTCTATCCTCTGCCTCTACCTGCGATAGACTCCCTCCTTTCTGAATCCGCTTTTTCTTACGCTTTTTACGTTCAGACGCTGCCTGGTTTGCCTCCTCAAGATTGGCTATCCTAGCTTCAAGCAACGCATGTGAGTAGACCTTCAAAGTTGACCCCTTTTTGACCTGTAAAACCATCTCAATAATAGAATGAGGGGAAGAACTCTTGTGGTCCCTTATCCTCTTTACAATTAGCGTTGTTTGAGCTTCTAGCTCCCTGATTTCCACGCAGGCGGCTGCCTGGTAGGATCGCTGCTCGAAGCGTCTCTAAGATTTAGTGCTTATGCCGAGCCTCATTTCTCCCTCGTCGACTTGCGAAAGTGCGCGTGCGTAAAACTGCATTTTCGTCGATCCCCTCCTCCAGAACATCCTGAAACATGTCAAAGCGTCTTCAAATACTGTTCCGTGGCTTCACCCGTCCCTGGGTGGTTTAGGGGCTAAAGCTAATCCCGCAATAAGCTGCCGATCACCTCAGCCTTGAGGGTTTTAATAGCACCAACAGTTCATCCACATTCAGCAAAGATGCATTCTCTGAAAACAATCGAATTAGCATCGTAAAACAAACCGGAGCTACAAAACATGACATTCAAGGCATCAAGGCGACACACCTGGAAACTGCGCAGAGGATACCGACCTCGCTAAGCAGCAATTAACATGGCGTCCGTGGCGCACACGATGCAACCTGCAAGAGGACCATTAGTCTTGCATTAGCGCAGCCACATGAGCTTGGGTGTAGGTGAACTTTGGCCCTTATTTGTACCTCAGTATGGTTCATAGGGGTACAAGTCTACGTCAAAACCTCTCTTAGGACGAGACAAAGTGCATCAAAACCATGGAGCCTCTTTCCGTTGCAGCAAATGGTACGACTACTTTCGAGTCCTTTCGTTACTGCATCCGCTAACTGAACCTAGGTCTCGCCATTATTTCCGTTGCTTTCCAGCTCACTGAAACCTGCGTCAAGCTTTACAGGTTTTGGGAATCCGTTGAAGATGCTCCGCATGAGATCGCTGCAATCAAAGAAGACTTGCAATACCTCATCTCTGTATTCAAGAGGGTTGAATCCAACGAGAACACCTCAGGCCATTGTATAGCGGAAGGGGTACACCATTGTCGCGTCAAAGTTGCGGTATGTATCATGAGGCATGCTACGGTTTGCACACTGATGGCCTAGGAATTGATGTCGATTGTCGAAGAGTTTAATATCGGTTTCCAGTCATTGTCCCGGAAGAAACGAGTATGGACAGCTTTCAAAGCCGCCACTCATAGCAAGCATGTCCAAAGGTTTCGTGACTCTTTGAATGAGACCAAAGCAACGTTGACGCTCGCCATGGTTCATGAAAGGTACAAGAGAAGCGAGGCAAGCTTATTCTTAATTTTATACTTACTTCTACAGTGTTGTACAAGCGCATGCTAGTAGCTTCTTAACAAGCGTGAACGTGTTCGAAGGCTTGCATCAGAACTATATCACAGAAAAATTTCAACACGCGTTGCCAGGGGCAGGGACACCTGCTTGGGCTCAAGTACATAGTAGTCCCTCCAAGTTTGTGGGTCAACGATCTCTCCACCATATACCGATGACGAATGATTTATTGGCTACGAATACACTGATGCACTTCAAGAAAGCTGTTCCTGAGCAATTGATGGCGAAGTTCCAGGTTCAAGAGCTTATGCTACATGCGATTGCGCAAACAGCAATAACGACATTCGATTCAACTTCCTTGGAAATCTTCGCTCAAGACGGTTACATGATTGACGAATGTGGACAACTACGGTCGAAGACTTTTGTTTATGCGGAGAATTTACGATATCGCATCCGTCACCACGCATCAAGCTTTCGAACTGCGCTTGGATGCGTGTGGGTACGCACGACTACCATATACCTCGCCAACGATCCCGAAGATGCGGCCGGGAAGCTTCAGACAGTCACCTCTTTTGTCTTCTACCCTACAGCGTGGTTAAAGTGGTTAGGTGTTCGAAATGGGCTGGAGGCCGTTGCGGCTTCTGCTGGCCGGAGTTGGCTTTTCAATTGCAGGTTGACAGTGACTTGCGCCGTACCTGATGACTCCCTTATATTCGAACTTTGTCGGACCGGGCAGACTCGTGCTGTGGAAACTCTCTTAACTAAGAGACTGGCAAGTGTGGTGGACACAAGTCCAAAAGGATGGAAACCTCTACACGTAAGAAACCCGATTCCAGGCTTGATACGCTCGATATAGCCGCATTCTCACTCACGGATTTACTAGTTTGCTGCCGCCGCGGGCCATGTTGACCTATGCGCTATGCTGATCCGAGCAGGTGCAGATAAGTCTGCTCTGGTCTACGAAGGGCCTTCCGAGTCTATCTTGTAAGTTTTGCGTCGCAGAACGAACACGCGCGCTAACGTCGTCAGGTCTCCCATCTCACTCTTTGTTGCGTGCTCGACTGACATGCATGCTGAGACTAAAATAGCGATGCTCAGGATGTTCTGTGACTGCATTGACCTAGCTAGTCCTGAGAGCGATGGTTGGAATGTTCATGACTGGTTGAAGAGAGCCTATGCGAGAGAAAAGGTTCCGGTATCACAAAACAGCATCACTTGGCTTCTCCACATGACAGCGAACGAAGAGTATGTCGAGTGCAGCCCGCGCAACATCTGGTCCGCCTTACAACACGCCGTAAGGTCCGTTCTCAACCACGAGCGTCATAGCAGATATCTGGAGCGTATCCTCGAACTTTCGAAGGGCAAACACAGGAACATCAGCCAAAGACACGTAGACGCGCTGGGGTACTGGATAGCTCTTCGCGTCAGCGGACGGGTACTACTACCTATGGTGGTGCATGTGGGATCGTTCCTCCAGATGAAAGGGTTTGACTGGATCGAAGACTACATGCCACACAGACAATTCCTGCAAGCACAACCCAATCTCTATGCAGCATGGTGCCATGCAGTGCTTGATGCTGTCGAAAAAGTGGAGGATTATATGCGACAAGAGTTGGACTTGTGTATGCGGCAACTTGGCTGGACGCGAGATGATCTCATCAGTGCACTGTCATCCACTGATACCGCCTTCTACAGTACAAACCACCAGAATCTTCACCAACAGGTCTGTACGCGCTGCAGAGATGACTATGGTCCGCTTGCATGCAGTCTCATTGAACCTGCACGCATTGCCGTCACGGAGTGTGTTAAAACCGGTCACAACTCTGATTGTGTATGCCAAAGCATCTACAAAGACAACGAAATACCAGCTGAACTTCCGGACTACGCTGGCGCGTGTCACGACGATCATAACGGAGACGAGTCGGACATTGATGAAGAATTCTTCGACGCACAACCGCATCTCTTTAGCACTTCATCCCTTCAGAGCCAACCAAACCCCAACATATTCATCGATATAGCTACCCTGCTTTATAGTGCTCAAGGACGAAACTGGATAAGCGGCCATGCAATCGGCGAACGCCTTTGCGCAACCTGCTTCTTGCTCAAAGAGCAGTACATCGGCGAGGACGGTCTTGCAGCCGAATTCCCACCTATGCCGAAAAGTTTTGAGGGACTTCGCGTCAAGTGGTAGTGCAGCAATGATCTAGATTATGAAGCTGGCCTGTCGCGACATTGATACGGGGAAAACCAAAACCTTGTTATCATGCAAATCACTATGACTAGCTTCACCGGTTTCTGACGATTTGTGATAACGTTATCTTCCTTTATGCGGGGCGGCTGTATATGCGGCGTATGCATATCGCCTTGCGCTCGCGTCTCTGGTGCGAGGCAGCCACAGCCCAATGGTCTTGCGGATTTCCCGGGAGTCCAAGCGTTTTGAACGACAGGGGTATTACTGATTTGCATATCTTAGAGAAATCAGTTAAGGTCGTAAAAAGCGACAACTTGACACAAAAAACTGGTAGACCCCCTAAACCGTGTCCGTTAATTCGATTGGCAATCTTAGAGATACATGGCTAAATCCATTCAGCCCTCACTCCAATTCTTCTGGCTCTAATTGGTTCACATGTTTCGTGCTGGTCTGGGCTTACCCTGTCGCCCTCGCCTCATCAAGGTATGCTCATCCTTTCGTGACCTCTTCCTCTGCATGCTGAATACTACAAATTTATCTGCTTGCAACGTGCTTCGGCTATGGTGACTTACCTACTACGCTTCGAGGCAGGTGTAGGTTTTATCGCAGGAAGCGAGGCAAGCCCCTCCTACTTAAGGAGCCTGAGGAGTATCACGGTGGAGCTGTATTCTAGTCTCCAAGGAAGGTAAAGGAGGCACATGATCGCCAGCAGGTCCAGGAGCGCGAGGAGGAGCAGGCACAACACCAAAAAGCTGAGACAAATAGGCTTCATGAGGAAGCAAGGCAGACAAAGGCAAGGGAGAAGGAGAGGAGGCGTCAGGCGAGGGCTGCAGCCAGGTTGGTGAGAGAGAAGGAGAAGGCTGAGAAAGCTGCTGAACAGGCCTCTAGGGCAGCTGCTCGCAGGACTGCAATACGACTCAAACAAGCTCTTAAAACCTCACAACAACGTAAGAAACACAGCCTCAAGGCTCCTATAAGAGTTACTATAAAAAAGAGATCTATCGCGAGGCCGACAGGTGATGGAGAGCCTCAAGGTGCTGTTGCAGGCGCACCAGCTCTCAGGTCACGGCGTAGCCGCAACATCACGCCTTCTACACGATATCAATAGCTATAATGTGGTTCACAACCGAGTCGGCCACCCAACCGAGCCGGCCACTTTACCCTACTAAAACGCCTAAGCAGCAATGCAGTACATTACCACAACATATATTTGTACTATCGCGACAGTGTAGTATTATTCAGAAGCTTCGCTATCATCTACATCCTCTATTTCTACTTTACAGGTGCGAGAGTTATGCCCAACCTCGCTGCAACGGCCGCAGCGCCTCTCTGCGCGCACCCTCTTCGCAGGCGTCTCGCTGTCCTCACGCCTACCACCCTCCATTTTAGCAATTAAGTCAGATACCTCACCAACTGTTAGAGTCTCCTCTGCGCGTACGTACCGCCTTTTGCGAGTCTTGCGCTTTGTAAGCGTATTAACAGCGTCTTGAAGGCGGCCTATTTCCTCCTGCACTAACACCATATTATAAGCGATCTGCTAAGCGCCTTTACTTAGCTGCTTAACCTGCTCGTCCAATGAGCTTGCTGGTGACCCTTGGTAGTGTTGCATGCGATCTCGAATCAGCGTAGATTGCGCCTCTATCTCGCGGGCGCTGCGCGGTGTTTGCGCCTCCTAGGCGACTGTGCCTGGTGCAGGCGGCGTCGGCGTACGCAGCTGTATATCTAGCTTCGATAACACAGCCTCTGGGTTATATGGGACTAGTCTAGCACCTAGAAAGCCTGCGCGAACGTTCTCTGGTGTGAACGTCTTCTTGTAAGCTTCTTTAAAGGCTAGTAGGAAGGTTTCCTTGTTAACATAGTAGATGCGGCTGCGTGCCAAGAGCGAGATCCTATTGCCGTAGTGGTGCTTTAACAGCGAGTGGGGGACAACGTTAAGAGGCTACAGGAGGTGCGATAAGTGAGGTGGCATGCAGAGAGCGATAATCTTGTTCTCCTTGCAGTAGTCCTGGAAATCTACTGAGCAGTGGCTTTCATGGCCGTCAATGATAAGCAGCCTATATGCCCTAGTAGAGGACGCCTTCGTATGAGCATCGAAGTGCTTAAGCCACGCGAGCGCGAGGTTGTTGTTGATCCAGCTAGTAGGAGAGACAGTAATAATCTAATCGCGGGGTAGATCTGCGAACCAGGAGGTAATGAGGACCTTCCCTGCAAAGATGAGGAAGGGCGGGATAACGCGCCCTATCGCAGAGACGCCTTGTCCTAGAGTTACCCACTCGCGATCGCCAGGCTGTAGTTTCTTCTGTTTCCCAGGTTTCTCTAAGCCTATAACAACAAGCTGAGAGGATATCTTGCCCATTATAAAGCCAGACTCATCAAAGTTCCAGGTATCCTCATCTGTGATACCATACTTCGCCTTTATTGATTGAACAAGAGTGAACCATGGCCTGATAACCGCTGGGTCCTCACAGACAGCTCGCGGGTGATCGTACGGACGGCTCCATCGCGTTCGCAGCTCAGGTCTACGCTTAATGAAGTTATCAACCCAGTTCTTGCCTGTAGGCTTTCCACCACGCCCTCTCAGCAGTCTATCAGCCATATCTCGTACGTGTGCCTTCGAGGGCGGTATACCACGTAGACTCTCTTCAAGTATACGCTGTACAATCGCCTCCTCTTCTAGCTTTGTAAGGCGCTTTGTGTTTGGCTCGCAGTCGCGTCGAGGGCGTGTCCCAGCGCGTCGGTCTTGGAGCGTGGATCGAGGGACTCGGTAGACTGCTGCAGCGCGTCTTACGCTTTGAATCTGCTTAGATGCGATATCAGAGATAGCAATATGTATATCTCCTTCAGTATAGGTCTTTTGCACGTTGCGTTGTTGAGACATGACGCGTTGTTGTTGCGTAGGCATTTTAGTGGGGTAAAGTGGCCGGCTCGGTTGGGTGGCCGACTCGGTTGTGAACCACGTTATATATATTAATTAAAGCCTAACGTGGTTCACAAGTGAGTGACGCACCCAAGCGAGTGACGCACTTTTGCCAAGACCTCACCAAACTTCAATCAAGTCGTAATGCCTCAACGCAACAGCGTGAAAATGATCTCAAACGAAGCGGATATACAGCTTGCGATACAGGCTATCCAAAGAGACGCGACACTGACGACGCGACGCGCTGGAGCTATCTATAGCGTCTCTGACGCAACACTACGAAGGCGACTCGCTGGGACGCCTCAACGACGCGATCGCGCGCCTAACTCAATGGCTCTTCGAGGATCTGAAGAGGTAGCGATTGTTAGGCATGTTCTCAAGCTAGTAGAGCAAGGATATCCGTCTAGGCTTGCTGACGTTGAAGAGATGGCCAATTCTTTGCTTGAGATCCGCAATCAGAAGCCAGTTGGCAAGAAGTGGGCTGCAAACTTCGTAAAGCGTCGCCCTGAGCTTAAAGTCAAGTTCAATCGAAAGTACGACTATAGTAGAGCCCTCTGCGAGGATCCTGAGGTTATACAAGGCTGGTTCCGCCTAGTACAGAATACGAAGGCTAAGTACGGCATCCAGGACGAAGACACGTACAACTTTGATGAGACTGGCTTCATGATGGGCGTGATATCGACTGGCGCGGTAGTCACAGCAGCAGACCGTCGAGGACGGCCAAAGACAGTGCAGCAGGGCAACCGGGAGTGGGTCACAGCTATCTAGGGCATGAACGCGACGGGGTGGGCGATTCCACCCTTCATCATCTTCTAAGGCAAGCACTACCTCTCTGTCTGGTATAAGGAGGAGAGCCTGCCTTGAGACTGGGTAATTGCAGTCTCTGAGAACGGCTGGACGACAAACAAGCTTGGTATCGAGTGGCTAGAGCACTTTGACAGGTATACAAAGGGGAGGGCTGTTGGCAGCCACCGCCTGCTAGTTCTCGACGGTCACGAGAGCCACGGCTCGATCGATTTCCACCAGCTCTGCGAGGAGAAGAAGATTATCACCCTCTGCATGCCTCCACACTCCTCGCACCTACTGCAGCCGCTTGACGTTGGCTGTTTTGCGCCGCTAAAGAAGGCGTATGGGTGCCAAGCCGAGAAGCTGATGCGCAACAAGATCACCCACATCACGAAAACAGAGTTCTTACCGTGCTTTATTGCCGCCTACAAGGCCTCTATTACAAAGAGCAATATCCTAGGAGGCTTTCGAGGCGCTGGCTTAGTTCCATTCGATCCAGAGGCTGTTATATCGATGCTCGACGTCCGCCTGCGTACTCCACCGTTACCCACCGTCGAGGACGGTCCCTGGCAGTCGCGAACCCCAAGCAATACCGTAGAACTAGGGTTTCAAACGAAGCTAGTTCTCGAGAGGTTTCAGAGGCATGTAGATAGCTCGCCTACTTCGATGGTTGAGGCGGTGAAAAGCCTTTCTAAAGGCGCAGAGATAATGGCGCATGCTTTAGTGTTGTCGCAAAAGCGTATCGCTGAGCTTGAAGCAGCTAACGAGGCCGCTACGCGACGTAAATCGTATAAAAGAAAGCGAGTACAGAAGGAGGGGACCCTTGTAGTAGAGAAAGGTCTTCCACTAACGACTCTAAAGGAGTTTGGCGCGCGCAGCGATGGGAAGAAGGCAAAGAAGAAGGCGCGCGTTGAAGTAGGCGAATCGTCTCAAAGACGCTGTGGACGCTGCGGCGAGGTAGGACACAACTCGCGCACATGTAAGCAGGATGCAGAAGTAGATTCTGAGTAGAATAGTGTATTACGATTTCTAATTACTATTGTTAACGGTGCTGTACAGTCGTGTGTAGTTGTGGTTTTGGTGAGGTCTTGGCAAAAGTGCGCCACTCGCTTGGGTGCGTCACTCGCTTGTGGAGTACGTTAGCGGCATCGCGATAGAAGTAGAGGTTTAGTGGGGTCTTAGCAAATCCTGGCCACTCGCTTGTGGAGTACGTTATGGGGACGTAGAGTTAGCTTTCAACAGCTAATATTAAGGATTAGTAATGTGTGGGGCTTTTCCATTTGTATAGCTCGCAGGC